CACGCCTGGAACGAGAAGAAGCCGTGGGAACAGAAATGGAGGGAGATAAGACAGAAGCTGTTTTTGAAGATGATGATTTACGACTGAGGTCAGTAACATTTTCTTCTGATCTTCCAAGTTCTGAAAAAGTCTTCCCAGAACCTTCTGAATTTGTAACACTCGATGCAAGGCTAAAGCAAACTGCTGAGCAAAATTCCTCCCACGCAGAGAGAGAAACAATTCATTATTCTCCTCGAAGCTCTAAGCTCACCCTGGATGAGCTGGCTATGAAAGCCTATCGTGACCATATAAAACTCTATGAACAGCAGCTATCCCAGGCAAAAATGGCTATATCTATGTTTGAGCAAGATAAGGCAGATAACTTAAGATTTTCAAAAAGCACCATATTGCCTTCTTCTCCGGAGCCAAAGACACTCCCCCTGGTGGATTCTGTGTCAGGCCAATTAAGGCAGAGAGCACTGCATACGTCACATGAAAGTCTCCCTGATCAAGTTACACATGTCTTACATAACCACTCCTACTCTAAAGCATACAATGCCCCGTATGCAAAGCTGCCCGAAGCTAAAGGTGCAGCACCATCTGCTGGCAAAAGTAATTTACTACAGGAAGCTGAAATGCCACAAGTGTTTCCACAGGCCCAAACTCAAACACCCCCTGGCGGTGTTGGTGTCTTTTTAGATGGAACACAGCAAAGGCAAATGACTGCATCTCCAGCAGGTCATGCCAATATTGCAGATCAAGCACAAATGGCAACTGGAATACAGCAGATTCCAATGCATCAGCCACAGCAGCTACAAATGCCTGCATATGTGCCCCAGCCACAAGTGCAAATAGGGCCACCTCCTGGCCCACCTCCAATGGCACAACCAAGACCATTTTTAGGTCCACAACAGGCACAGCAAATACCACAGGCATTCCTGCCAGCACAGCCAGCATACCAAATGCAAGCTCCTTACCAGGCATTTTCTGTCTCTCCACTAACTGGTGAGTCAAAACTAAAAATGTCAGGACACAATTAAAAGCCTGGGTCAGTGAGATTACACTATTGCTTCTTAGAGAAGGCACGCACTGTATGGTATTTAACCCACCTGCTCAACCTTGGACTTATGCAATAAGAGATTTAGAGATAAGGGCTCGCACAACATTATTGATGTCCATGGATACTGAACTGCAGGTCACTTTTCCACCAAATACAACAGCCCGACAAATTTGGGCTGAATTGGAAAATTGCTACAGGCCTATCTCAATTGAATCTTCATGTTTACTCATGTCTGAACTCCACGGTTCGAGATTGAAACCTGGTGAACAAATTGGAGGACATTTGACCAAACTGAAAGGTCTGAGAACAGAATTGAGAGAAAGAGGCCATAACATTGAAGATATTCAAATGATCAGCATCATTATTAACTCTTTGAATTATGAATGGAAAGATGCTGTTACAAAAATTAACCAAGTCCCAATTGCTCAACGCACAGTGGACAATGTCTGTAGGCTTTTAATTGAAGAAGAGGCATTCATGCTGGCCATACCACACTTGAGAGGACCACCCGCATCAAGAGCTCCAGCTAGGCGCCCCTTCCGAGGAAGGACCTACGCTCCAAGGATGCCAAGATGCTACACCTGCAATCGTGTGGGACATGCCACCCGGGATTGTCCCCAATGAGTTCCAGCTCCCGTCACATACCAGCCCAGAGGAACAGATTCCAGAGGCAGAGGCAGAGGCGGAAGACAAGGTCGTCGTGGTCCCCGGCGTGATCCACAAACTCCACTCGCCACACTGGCTTTAACCAATGATCCACAACCTCAACCAGAGTACGACAGACGACTCCTGTGGACTTTGGACAGTGGTGCAGCATTGCATGTTACCTACAGAAAGGAACTTTTTACAGAGATGCACGAGCCTGAAGAGATTTAGATTCTGCTATTCTGCATCCTATGAACCTGAGGATGATGACAAGGAAGATTCTTAAATTTGTTTGGGTGTTCTATCGAAGAACAATCCTTAACTGAAGAATAGTATACTGCTATTTGGGAGAGTCATCCTCTTCTACCAAGTATATACCTTTGAAAAGAATGCAAATGGAGCAATGAGGCAAGATTGCCAGTTAGATCAGTCAAATCCCCACTAGCATTCAAAGGGGTGATAGATGATACAAATCACAAGAAAGGTCTATGAGTCTTACTGAACTTCCATTAATGTTACATGATTTATAGGCTACTCATCATGCCATTGAGTCATTTTTATGAATAGTTCTTTATTATACAAAATGTTGGTACTTTTTTGTCTGAGATAATAATCCAGTCACTTTTTATTATTTTTGTATGCATTTTTCCAATGAAGAATTCAACAACAATTTCATGTTTTTGACTTTTGATAATTATTCTCTATTTTCCACATTTTAGCTGAATATCCAAGATATATTTATTTAACACTCTGCTGCCTCTTTGGAATGACTGTGTGAGTACCTGTAGGCAGGTGTTTTTAATATATCACAAACTTGGTACAAATTCATTGAAATAAGTTTTTGAGGAAAAGCAGTAAATTAAAATTGAAAATAAATACTGCTTCTTGCCTTGAAAGCTGACTATGTGAATGAAATGTCAGTTGTAACATCTTCCATTTTTCAGATCACTGCTTCTGGGATAAATTTAGCTAACCTACTATTTCAGCTAAAGTATGACACAGATGCTAAGTCCCTTGATGACGCTATGATTGTGAACTTCTGTTTGCTGGATTTTATGGAAATGTTTAACCAAACCCTATGACTATCCTTGAGAGGGAAAAGAAAAAGAAAAATTAAAAGTTGGTTTTGAGTCATAATGCGTCATTTCAAGCATATTTTTTGACATAAATGGAATGTTGTGCATTTGTATTTAGTAAAGGTAGACACTTTACGCTGAAAAAAAGCAATGCTTCTAGTTAAAGGACTAACTCAAATTAAAAAGAACCCATGGAGCAGATGTTGGCTAATATTGCTCAAATGTTACCTTAGCTATTAGTTTACAAGTAAATATTTCCCATTTATTTGACTTTGTCTCATGAGAACGCTATCATATGAATGAGCTCAGTGTTCTATTAAGTTAAGATGACACAACATCTACATTTTGTATGTTAAGAAATGTAACATAAAGTGAGAGACAACATGAACCCATCATATGCCACCTGTAATTATGACTCTATGGTATTCTCGACCCTTAAAAGGGCTACAGAAGTAGAAAGCCATAAACCACTTATCAATGTTGAAAAGGATGGAACTGTTCACATTTGATGGATTTTAAATGTTTCTAAATGAGGCGAGGCAAGTTTTCTCCTTTTATCCTGTCATTTACTAAATGCCTTCTGAATAAAAAGATTACTACTGCTTGTAATAGCAATAGCAACAACCATCATTAATCGCACAGCTACAACTTTGCTTTCTGTTTATTTGAAAGGCCACACTAATCTTAAACCTTATTGACTGTGCTTCTCTAACTAATCTCAATGAAAACTGTCCTCACTCAAAAATATAAAGCTATAGGAATATTATTTTTAGAATATATAAGTCAAATTGAAAAAAGACCCATGTTTACAATATTTATATATTCAAGTGTTCTAATTTGATGGAAAACCAGCCTACGTGACAATACAGACGACAAAGCCCTTATATGATGGGTGTGGATCAGAGGTGGGTTTCAGCAGGTTCTGACCAGTTATGGAGAACTGGTGGCAGAAATTTTGAGTAGTTCAGAGAACCAGTAGTAAAAATTCTGACTGGCCCCACCCCCATCTATTCTCTGCCTCCCAAGTCCCAGCTGATCGGGAGGGAGGAAATAGGGATTTTGCAGTATCCTTCCCCTGGAATCAGATGGGAATGGACATTTTACAGTATTCTTCCCCTGCTACGCCCACCAAACCACAGCAACCAAGCCATGCCATGCCCACAAAGCCACACCCACAGAATCAGTAGTAAAAAAAATTGAAACCCACCACTGGTATGGATGACATTAGGAGTATTTTAGATACTGGGCATGACAGTCTCACAATAGTTCTCCTTATATGATTATTTCTCTCTCTTTCTCCTTGTAACTTCAGAATGGGATAAATTAGCTCTGTTACATTTTGGGATTCTGGACTTCTGTCTCATAATCCTACCCTGATGGCCCTTTGCCTAAAGTCTTATAAATATTGCTCAACTATAACACACTCTTTCTGGTTTTAGGTCCTAGGTAATGGGAATTAACTGAACTTCTCATCATATTCCACATTTATAAATGACTGCATTTTATTGACTCCTAATTATAAAGTCTCCATATACTGTATGTGCATCAAACTACAGGGAGGTTGTTTTCCTTGGTATTGTCCACTTGATTGATTCTGCCCTTTGTCTTATTGGCATCTCACATTTGACGACTACGAAAAGTTGAAGAAAATTTCACTTGCTTGATTCCACAATCTTTTGCTCAACTAGCTGGCAGTCTAATGAATGATGGCTGAAAGGTGACATTGGAAAAGGCTAACAGTATGAAGAAATACAGCCTGAAATACAGCCTAAAAATAATACACCACCTTCCATGGTATTTTTATTTTTGATACTCCATTGACATTCTGCAATTGCATTTTAATCATTAATAGTAGGCAGTTTGGAAATTTTTTCAAGGTTATGAAGTGGGATACAATGCATTGCTAAATCTGCTAGCAATGTGGAAAAAATTGTACCAGAGCCATTGTATCAGAAATAGGTTTTAGTATTACAATACTACATGAATCATCCTAGAAAGTTAATATCAGTAATGATGTATAGTATTTTTATTGCAGGATAGGTAGTGTTTGTTAACTTTAAAACAAGCAGAGTTGAGTTTAAGTGTGGTCTCCTCCAAGCAAGCATTACATTGCACTAAAAAAGTGCAATAATAAAATAACAAACTCTGGATCATTTTTAATTAGTATGCTTATATCACAGAAAGATCAAAAATAAAATGCTAAGATATATACATATATAGATACAGATACAGTATGTATTCCATTATTTTTTATTCATGTATATTTCCCAAAAACAACAAGAATGTGAAAATTGTTTTGGATTATGAACAGTTCTCCAACAATGTATGAAAGATAAATGCATGACCTTAAGGAGTATAACTGAATAAACTAGGGATAGTTTTGTTGTTGGTTTACTTGCAATTCTGTCATTGATTGATTGTCCTTCTGTATATCTTTGGGGGGAAATCAATGTTTTCCTTTAAGAAAGGTCGCCTTTGGAAAAAAGAGAATACATGTACTGAATATTTTCCTACTTCATATCTGTGTCTAACGGGCAGTATCAGCAATGTCAATTCAACACTGTCTTTTTGGGGAAAAAAGGGCAGCATAGCTTTCCAATGGGAAATTTTCAGGGGAGTCATTGTTTAAGGGGAGCTTTTAAATTATACTAGGTTATGAAATGGGTTTTGGAATGTTTTGTATAAAGCCTTTTTTTTAAATATTTCATTTCAATTAATATGCTCTGAAATCTAATTTATCCAGGGACTTTTCATTATAGCTCAATAATACATTTACATTTTAAAAATAATTCCATATTGGAATCATTGCAAGTGTAGAAATGACACTGAAAATACAATAAGTAAGGAAGAAATAAATCTCAGAAATGACTATCTATGTGTTATGCAAAATTAGCCTATGCCAAATATTTTCAATGGAAATTCTAAATAAGCTTACAAAATCAGGATGAAAAGAAAGTAGAACTTGTAGGTTGTTTGCTTGGCATCTCAAATTTTAAGCTAGTTTATAGGAAATATCTATTGTTATTTTCTCCATTACATGCATATGGGTTAAACATAATGTCCATATAAAAATAAAGATTGTCCATACATAAAATGTAGGATGCCTTTATAAAAGCATCTTCCTTAAGTTCTCAAATAGGGGAAATGTTTTGAAAAATAAAAAGGGTAAGAGAGTGCATGATTCATATTTTGTGTGCAAGAGCGTGTGCCAGATTCAGATTTTCAAAATGCGTAAGAATGGAGGGCACTGAAAATGCAAATTCATCCTGGACCTCTATGCTGGACTGCCTGTATTTACTCAGAAGGTCTAAAGTGGAAATTGAATCAAGTTCAGCTAAAGATAATCATAGAACTCTGCATGAACAAGAAGTTTCCTCTTATAAGGATTTCTGAATATGCTGAGCTTGATGACGATAGACATTTTAATATAATTACATTCTGCAGCTGAATAGAATTACAGTTTTTAGTGTCATCATCCACATTGTATGATTTTCAAAGATCTGTACAAGCCAATTGTGTATTTTAAGCCTAGAATCTATACACTATTAAAGCTGTTATTATCATAACTTTTAAGTGGGTGAAAGGGTGCACCCCAGGGCAACAATTTTTCAACTAAGGTACCTCAAATGTGTTAACTTACAGAATGTGTCCAAAATCTAGGACCCATGACTCTCAAAATTTAGGAAAGTTGTGGTTACTTCAGGCTGCTGCTGTTCTGCTGTGCTTTTGCTATGGGGCCATGATGTTCATCTTTATCATGTAGCACTTAACAAAGCAAGAACTTTAAAGTGCATGAAAAGAAGTCATGGATACTTTATTATTTTATGTGTCTCTTCTCTGGCAAACAGACACCCAGTAGTTGTTCAGGAACTTAAGGCACACAGATAGAATTCCATCCTACATTTCTCCATAAGCCCCCTGTGATGTAGGCTGAGCTGAAAATCAGCAAGTAAGCTGCTATGGCTGCAGATGGAGCAGAAACTGGATCTCTCTGTTATCAATCAAGTACATTATTAACTATATCTTTGGAGAGAGAAGCAATGAGAAAAGCTGGCAAACCATGGAGATTGCTTCACTTGCTAGCGCCTTGTTAGGGCTGAAAAAAAAGCTTCACAGTTGAGAGTTGGAGGGAGCAGGCAAAGCAGGGAAGCGGAGATCGCTTCACTCACTAGCGCCTTGTTAGGGCTGAAAAAAAGCTTCAAAAAAGCCACATTTGGAGTATGAGATGCACCCAAATTTTCAGCCTCTTTTAGGAGGGAAAAAAGTGTGTCTTATACTCTGAAAAAATATGGTAGTTCTTAGGAGATCACATGATCCTATTTTTAAACTTTGCCAGACAGCCTCCAACAAGCCAGTGGAGAATCTGGCAGGGATTTTAAACTATTCTGAGGTGAGAATGGCAATCAGGAATTATTGCAAGAACAATATGAGACAAACAACATGAATTTATGTATACAAGGAGCCTCTATTGAATTATAACCAAAGAGGAGTATATGACTATATGTGCAAGTGCCTGCAAAACAATGTTTCTTCAATAATTTCCATTGATATACCAGGAAGAATGGGAAAATACATTGATTACCCACTTTATCCTCACTAAAGTTAGGAGAGATGCAGATGTTGCTATAGCATTATCTGGCATTGCACAAACATTGATGCTTGGTAGTGGGACAGCAAATTCAAGATTTAATATAGCCATCAAAGTGAATGAAAGTGCTCTTTGTAAAATAAAAAAATATATCCAATATTGCACACATTCTTCAACATATGCGATATATTGTCTGGGATGAGAATTCCATAATTAGAAGGTAGAGCATTGAAGCCATAGACTCTTTACAGTCTATGTGGCAAAAATGAGACTTCTGGGAGAATTTTAGCCATTTACTATAGTTATTTCTATTATTATTATTATTATTATTATTATTATTATTATTATTATTATTATTATTGTTGTTGTTGTTGTTGTTGTTGTTGTTGTTGTTGTTATTATTATTATTATTTATTTATTTATTTATTCAATTTATATACCGCCCTTCTCCTAGTGGACTCAGGGCGGTGCACAGCCAGAACTAAAATACATAGCAATACAAAATTTAAAATTAATTAAAAGAATTATAGACTTTGGCCCGAATTAAAACAGTGCGAATTAAAACCCATTAACAAATTAAAACTAAACAATTAATAACAATTAAAAACTAAAAAAGGGGGCGGGGTTCATGCCATCTATTAGTTGTGAAAAGAGGAATTCATGCATAAAAAGAATATCATACTTGTGTACAAACTTTGTCAACTCTTCAATTGAAGAGAAACATATGACTGAGTGAGAGAGAAGGAAGATATTCTGAGTTTTAATTGGATGTAATTGGAAGGCAAAAGAAATCAGAAAAATTAAAATGATGAAACAGAATTATCTGAAGATGTGGTTCTGCCAGCAAGAACTGTGAAAGAATGTATAGATTTCCTTTACCCAACATTTGGCAGTTCTGCAGAAATATGCTCAAAGAACTTTATCTTGGTTTCCCTCAATGAAATGATGAAAAAAATAAATTCCACATGCATTACATACTTCTCCGGAATGATGAAATAATATTGTTCCTTCAATGCTCCCGGTGAAGTTGCTAATGTTACTCATTTTTCAACAGAATTCCTTGAGTCAATTGAACTCCCTGGATGGCTGCCACATAATCTGGAACTGAAGATAGGATCTCTCATCATTTTAATGAGCAAATTTAATCTTTAAAGATTTTGCAATGGAATGCGGATGATTGTGGAAGAACTCTACAAGAACTCATTGCACTCAAAAATGAGTCATTTTTCCAAGAATTAAACTCAATTTATAAGAAGGTGACGATGTCCCTTTTCGGTTCCCATTTTGCTCTCATTTTACATAAAGTGCAAGGACAAATTACCCATGGAGAACTGTCGATGTATCTAGAGAACCTGGTATTCCAGCATGGTCAGCAATATGTCACTTTAAGTGAAGAAATAAGTAGTGAAAATGTTGGAGCATCCTTAAAGAATGACAAATCAATTACAAATGTCATCAAAATTTCCTGGGTTAAACAAAAAGCATCTATATTAGACTTGCTACACATCTTTTTTCTTTAATAAAATGTTTTCTTCTTTAAGTTTAAAATCAAAACATTAGCAAATTACCCATAGTTATTCTGTTTCTCTGTTTAGGTAAGGAAATATATCTGAAAGGATGAACCAATGAGTGACAGATTGCCTAGTTCCACTTAAAATCATCTGAACCACATCTGAATGCTTATGTCAGATCCACCATATTCGGTTTGGTGCTGTGCTGGTATCCTGCCATTTAAAGATTGGGGGGGCATGAGGGGGAACCAAATGGGCAGCAATTAAACTTGTATGCATTCTGGTGTGGGAATTTGGGAGGGGGAATGACAGTTGAAGAAAAGCAAAGCACTGTGGGATCAGTTTGTGCCAAGGTATCTTCAAGGCCATTTGCCTTGAGTGTGGAAAGTTACCAGACAAAAACATCTCAGAGTTCCCAAGACATCCAGGTGGCATCATATTGGCTGTTTGGACATGTCATGGGGGAGGAATGGAACTGAGGGAGAATAGTCTTTGTCTTTTTGTGCGGGAATTTAGATTCCACCTGATTTTATTACAACCAGCATCTCTTAGCAAAAGTGCCTTTTACCTCAACCAAATGGAGTTGAGGCTTTTTCTTCCCCAGGAATCATCCAGCTGCCTGCAATTACTGCTAGTTCGAATCTCCCCAGGCTCAAGGTTGACTCAGCCTTCCATCCTTTCTAAGGTAGGTAAATTGAGGACCCAGTTTGTGGGGACAATAAGCTGACTTTGTATAAATATATACAAAAGTATGAAGGCTATTGCTTAACGCACTGTAAGCCGCACTGAGTCTCTGGAGAAGGGCGGCATATAAATCAAATTTTTAAAAAAATGCGCTCAGTATGGACCACAGAGGCCATAAACACAGCAACCAAGATCAAGATCAGATTATTTAATGCCATTGTCATACCGATTACCATCTATGCCAGTAAGGCCTGGAAATCTATAAGAATTATTCATAAGATCAACATCTTCCAACAATATTGCTTCAGAAGGATTCTTTGTATCTCACATCAGGACTATGTCACAAACAAGGAAATTCTACAAAGAAGTAATTCCCAAAGACTCTCTGAGATAGTAACAGAACAAAGAATGTGCTTTCCTGGACATGTGCTCCATATGAGTGAGCAATGTCCAACAAAGACTACAATCCATTGGATACCACCAGATGGTCAGACAAAAAGAAGAAAGTCAAAGAAAACCTGGTGCCAAACATTTCAGGAAGAAATGAAAAACATCAACTTTAAATGTAAGGATGCAGAGACTATAGCGGTGGAGCAGTGAGGGGTTACCCCCAGTTTGGACCGCTTCACAAGAATTGGTAGTAAAACCAATGGGAGGCCCCACCCACCAACCCAGATGTCATCATCAGTGAGCTGCGCATGCTCAGAAGCAAGCCTTGCGTGCACGCGCGATCCCGTTGCAAACTGGTAGTAAAGGTAAGTAGAACCCACCCCTGCTGTGGACTGAGAACTGTGGAGTACCCTTGTATCCAATGTGTTTAGCACTGGGCCTAGCTATCTTCGAGACCGCCTGCTGCTACCGACGACCTCCCAGCGACCTGTGCACTCCCACAGAGAGGGCCTCCTCAGGGTGCCATCAGCCAAACAATGTAGGCTGGTGACCCCCAGGGGGAGAGCCTTCTCTGTGGGGGCACCTACCCTCTGGAATCAGCTGCCCCCAGAGATAAGGAGAATCCAAGACCTCAGTGCCTTCCGCCGTGCTCTTAAAACCCACTTTTTCCAGCAAGCCGGGCTGGCTTAGGAAGAAATTTTTTAAAATTTTTAAATGTTTAATTGGTTTGTGGTTTTTTAAATTTTGGGCCAAATTTATATAGATTTTAATTGTTTTTAATATTTGTATTTCATGTTTTTAATTCTGGCTGTGCACCGCCCTGAGTCCTCAGGGAGAAGGGCAGTATATAAATTGAAAAATAAAATAAAATAAATAAATAAGACGTGATGATGATATATTTGCCCCAGTTGCTTTTAATGAACCATATTAATTAGAAAGAAATCACATACAAAGATACCTTTCTAGTTTGAGTGTAATTGTATGTCAGTGAAGAAATCATGTAGTTCTCATTTCAAAGTGAACATGATGCCTTTTTTTTTATTTTACATTTCAGCATATTCAATTTCTGTATTTTTTTTTCTCTAATAAACTTTGGATTTTGTTTGCATCCAAATCTTTCATCAGGCCTGCTGGCTTAGGAGAGCTTGTAAATGATCATGATGATATATTCTGCCACTCAGTTTCCGAAACTGATTATTTTTAAGCTTTGCTAAAGTATTTCTGTATAAGATATTGGTCAGTTTAATTCAACCCAGTGACTTTCTAGTCTCCAGGATAAATGAAAACAATGGCTTCAGCCACAACCAGAAAAGTTTAAGCATATGCCAATTTATCTATTTTATATTGTTTTAAGATATTCCTGAATATTTATGTACAGTACTGTGTCTTGCTTTTCACCGCTTTGCAGAAAGTTGGATACAAAGTCGGAAAGTTATTCAGCTAAAAAGTCTTTGAAATTACTGGCAGTAAAAGAAAGAGGGACAGTCAGCATAATTACATGATTCTGTCTCTCATTAACTTTTTCTGCATATCATGAGCATTTCAATCATTTGGACTAAAAATGTAACATTAACATTAAAGCATTATTCCACAAATGCTTCATTAAAAAAGCATTTTCCTTTTTTATTACTTAGAAATGATATCTGTATAATTTATTATTAGATATAGAAATAACTTCTCTTGTTAAGTGGTAGTGGGGAGTGAGGAAAGGTCACTTGGAAATGATAAATGATTCCCTCATTCCAGTTCAAAGCTTAGAAAGAAAGCCTTAGGTGATAGAAACATTTGGGAAACAAAAATCAGAAATTACTAGTAAGTTCAGGCTTATAAAATATCTATAATGTTGACTTGCTTTTTTGAGTAATTGTTACAGAGACCATAACAATAAAAACAAATCCATTTACTGGAAGATAAATTTAATTTATAGCAGTTTTGTGCAATGGTTAAGATATCTGGCTAGAAGCAGGGAGACTATGACTTCCAGTCCCACCTTTGGCACAAAGCCAGAAAGATAACATTTGATCCTTTCTCACAGCTCTAGGGAAGAGACAATAGCAAAAAACAGTTCTGGAAAATCTTGCTAAGAAAACTGCATGAACTTGTCAGGCAGTCTCCAAGAATCAGTTATGTCTGAACAGACGAAAAAATACCTTAGATCTGGCTCAAAACAGGGACTCAAAAGAATTCATACATGGCATTCAATGTGTAGGGAAGAAGTATCAAATGAGATGCCATAAAATTAAGTTCAGTTCAAGGCAACTGTCAAGGTTGACTTGTAATATAACTCTACTCGCAGCTTGACAACAGAAACAAAGGGAGGGGGGAGGAGAATGCTTGGAATGTATTGGAAGCTGGGAGGGAGGTGAGGAATTTATGTGAGCCTTTTGCAACCTGAGAAGATCCTGATATTTCAAGGCCATGCCTTCCGAAGGCACAGACTGTTTTCCCAAAATAAAAAGAATGTGATTGATTGGTGGACAATACACAATGGGTGTCCCAAATGGGGGAAAGGGGAAATTAACAATGCTGTTTTTCACTAGTTTTGCTTCTTCTGTACCTGTATGGACCTATCAGTAAAGTTATACTCTTGGTAAAATAATGTCCCAGGAGTTTCTTTTGCTGCATATGCCAAAGGGACAATTGACATTGGCCTCTCCTCAATCATTTCATTGATGATTTGGATAAAATTACTGGGGGAATCCTTTGTAGTATTCTTTTAATCCTTTTGTGTTTTGGAGTAAATCTTCTGATTGGTTGTATTCTCTTTTCTTTGATATATATTTTTTTCTTTTTTTAAGTGTAAGCCACTCAAAGTTGTTGTAGAGTTGGACAGCCCAAAATTGAAATATTATATTATTAAACTGAATTTAATTTTCAAATTTTCAAGTAAAACAAAATTGAGCAACATAGCTAGCACAGTAGAGGAGAAAATTGGCTTAATAATTTTGAGAAATTGACTGAAAGTAAAACAACGAAACTGATCAGAGACACATGTGAAGTGGGCAGTTAGGCAAACAAAAACCAAATAGATATAGGATGGGAGTAGATACTTGCATATATATATATATATATATTAGAATACTTATTACATGCTAATTGAATATGAGCTAGTTGCAAAGAAGGTAAATGCTTCAAAATCGTGGGAAATAATCATCCTGTCAAGGTTCCAAGTAAGAAGACCCAATGAAAGAAGACCCTGAGGCTAGAAGTTCCTCAAAGTTCCATTTTAAAGAAAAGAAAAGATGGCTTCCAGGACTGCCACATCCTTTTCTATTCTGTTTTGGTCAAGCCCCACATCTGGACCATGTACAATTCTTGATAAATTATTTTTTAAGGATTCAGTAAAAAAGAATGTCAGAGAAAGGCCGCAGTGAGATAATTTAAAACTAAATTCTAAGAAGAGAGAATAAAGATCATCAAAGGAGCTGACTGTGTTTAGAGAAAAGAGAACTGAAGGATAACCAATACCTGAAAGGGACCATGTGGAAGATTAAGATCTGTTGCCTTTTGTTTCAGGTTGTGGGCCATAGAACAATAGATTTATGGTACATGAAAGGAGAGCCTAAATGAAGATTAAAGAAATTTGCTAATGCTAAGAATCATGTGAAATGCTAAGAATGACAGTGAAACCAAATTGTCCAGAGACATGATGAGGCATTTATTGGATAGGTTCAGGTGGAAACTGGGCAGCCATTTCCCTGAGACAATTTAATATAGATTCTTGCTTTGAGCAGGAGTTTGGGCTTGGTAACCTAAATGGGCCCTTCCATGTTTATGATTTGTGAAGATATTCTGTCTCTAACTCCCTAAATGTCTCCTGAATTTATCTTTCCCTTCCCTCTGCCACTAGGAATATGGGCAAACATGTTCCTAATGTCAGACTAGTTAGAAAAATCTATAATTATAACAATTCATAATTATCCTATTTCCTGTCCCTGTCCTAAATGGTGATAATATCCATCCTTATTGCAATTGTTCATTCCCTGATTTTATTTATTTTTGTTTAGTGTGCCATTTTATCCTTTAGCTTAACATATGATCTTTCCACACCATTAGAATGATTGTGAATGGGATACTATCCCAGTTTTTTATTCATCTGTAGGCAAATAACACAATTTCAGAGTCAGGACCAACAAGCCCAATTTATTTTCATTTCGGAGTAAGAGCTGAAAGGTTTCTGAAAGAGGTCATGGTTTTGCTGTAATGTTGGTGAAATGTATTTTCCCCAGTCTAATGCAGCCTAGCTGGTCTCTAACCAATATAACGTTAGGGGCTATATCTTGCATTCGTGTCAGAAGCATTGAAATGCTTCTGGGTTGAAAAAATTAGTTGGTGACATCACAATTGGGGATTGTCCAGTTGGGGGCTCCTTTCATGTTGCTGACAGGAGTTGGAGTGAAGGACAAATGCTCACAGCAGTACTTGGGTCTTGAACACAGGCTTGCTAACCTCCATTTTAGCATCCTAACCACACGAGCCATCATGCTCTGGGGCTTTAGCTAACTGTTATGCATCAAAAGAATGACACTTATCTTATAATAATAAGATAGCAAGCATGGGTACTGGTTGAATCAACCTGTTTCTTACTGACCATGTCCTCAGATTGTTCATTGTGATATCAAAGTGTAATGAGGATTCTTTCTATATATGTGTAGGCTATTCTTGTAATGTGATACTCACTGTGAGTATCATTCACTAGGCTTTCTCATTGAAGATATTACTAAATAATGCTTGAACAGCCTTGGATGAGTACCAACAGATGATGCTGGTAATGCCAGTGATGTGATTACACACTTAATCACATAATCTTTCTCTCTCCTTCCTTCCCACTCCCGCCCCCCACTGTTTTTCTCTTCATACCATCTAAATCACACAGCACCTAATGATGGCAGAGAGTTGCAGCTACATGTACATTATTTACTCCTACATGCTAAATTGGATCTCAGGCCATGATCCAAGGAATCTCAATGTAGCAGCTTAGATGGAAAACTGTTTGCGAATTCTATATATGCAGGTAGTGTTTTTAAATATATTATATTCAGAAATCTTTTATCAAAGATGTTATCATTTTCTCCTTAATGTCGGTTGCAATACAATTGTTCCCACTGCAATTTAATTCTGTGAATATCTTTCCTTGCAAAGAAAAAAAAAGAGAGAAACCTGTGGTGTTCTGAAAGTACATGGTGATATTTCATATTCACTGATGTGGCTTAGTAATAGCTGTAATAGTAATAGTTTACTATTTATAAATCATACACCACATGCATATTTTCCAGACTTATATTTTAAAAGTACAGTATTTTATTCCAATGAAAAAGGAAAGGAATAAACAAGATAGGAACTTCTATAGTCTTCTTTCAATATTATTTGAAAAAGAATTCTGTCAGTTATAATACACCCTTGCATGTCACAAGATTAAATTACGGTATTTTGCTATTTATCCACACTGAGCTATTTTGTTTTGTTCATTTCATGCCTATGGGACAAAAGTTCTTTTACTTCTCCATGTTTGACTTCCAGCAGTGGTTTTAAGTATGCTTCACACTGATTATCAAAAGTAGCAACCCTTTCACATTGTATTGGATAAGTAATGCAATGACATAAAATAAACTGATCTATCAACTGCATCTCAGTTACAGAAATACACTGGGTGTTTCTAAGCCAGTCATTTTCTCTCGGAGCAGCCTACCTCTAAAGGTTTAAGCCAGGGGTGGGTTCTACTTACCTTTACTACTGGTTCACATCATGTCCTCATGCACACGCTCTTCTGCACATGCGCAGAAACTTCTGGGCATGTGCAGATCACCTATGATGATGTCCAGGTCAGTGGGTGGAGCACTATGGAGCAAAAGAGAACCAAGTTGACATTCTTTTACGTGATTTTTTTCCAGGTATTTAAAGCGTTAGTCCCATTCCCATCACTACCACTACAACACTGTTGACTTTTCTCAGGGGTAAATGTACCAACGCCTTTAATCATTTTTATAAAATTTAGTTTCAAGACCTCAACATTCTGTTTGCCTTCTTTGAAACCATTCCAATTTCTCTAACTTCTGCTTTAAATGTGCTAAAACTGGAGCAAAGAAAAAATTATATGCAACCTAAAACTATTTTTTTCAGACATATGTATACATTCATATTCGGTTGGAATCAACCACCAGAAGACAACTTGGTTCCTGGTCACTGATATGCTACAATACCAAGGGCACTCACAGAGGAATAAAGGCGGGGGTGGGGGGGTGGGGCTGATGACTAAGCGTATCATGACAGTGCAACACAAATTCTGGTCTTTGAACACCTACAGGTCATATCACTATGGAAGTAACAAAAGGCATCATAATCCATATGTTATCACATTGGCATTATTGTAACTACTTCTTGTTGAGGAACATACTTCAACAGGGCCTCTATAATTGATAGAATTAGTCTTCTGTTCAGCATGTGTTAACAAAATCAAGCCTCATTTTAATGTAAGGCTATTGATTTTCTAGAAATAAAAAGAGGAAGCATATTTTCCCCAGAAAATTGGAACAGCACATCAAACATTTGAGTATCTACCTTTAGATATTTTGTTTTCTTCCCATTAGATTTAAGCCTGCACAGTACATTCCAAGTATATTATCATAGCCATGTCTGAGACAACTTTATGATCTTATGGATTTTGTCAAGTTGAATTAAGCTTTCCTCTAGAATTATTTAGTTAATTTGCTTACCCAGTCAAATCTGTGCTAAAGGAAGGATATTTGTTGGCGACCTGTGCAAAATCTTTCCATTTCTCTCCAAGAACTAGATGTGTCTGCTCCAGTCTGAAACCTGTACAATGTCCCACTTTTTATTAAAAAAAATAAATAAAAACCTGATCAAGACTATTTAACAAATTTTTTAGGTTAAAAAATCTAATTCTTCCACAACGCAGAAATTCTTGCAGCATGTAATAATATCTTATTTTGACCTTTCTCTCCATCAATTTGCTCTGCAAATTATCTAATACTAATAAGTGCATTTTTAAAGAATGTATTTATCGCTGGCCTTTTCTGATCTTTTATATTCATGTTTCCATCCTGTTATAAAAGCAATGGCATGGTATGTTAGGTATAGTTTTATGTATTGAATAGGCACAGAAAGCTAACACAACACAGACAATTTGTATGAATGTTTATTTATTTATTTATTTTTAAAATTTTTATACCGCCCCCTCTCCTGAAGGACTCGGGCGGTGAACAGCCAAAATTAAAAACACACAATACAAATATTAAAATACTTTAAAACGAAATTAAATTTATCATTGGCTTCCCCAATTTAAAACCCCTTACCCATAAAATTCCCCAATTAAAACATTTTTAACCCAGCCCGGCTTGCTGAAATAAAAAAGTCTTCAGGGCCCGGCGGAAGGTCCGGAGGTCCGGGATCAGTCGTATCCCTGGGGGTAGCTCATTCCAGAGGGCGGGTGTCCCCACAGAGAAGGCTCTTCCCCGGGGGGTCGCCAGCCGACATTGCCTGACAGACGACACCCTGAGGAGGCCCTCTCTGTGGGAGCGTATTGGCCGGTGGGAGGTTATCGGAGACAGAAGGTGGTCTCGTAAATAACCAGGCCCTAAGCCATGGAGCGCTTTGAAGATGAGAACCAGCACCTTGAAGCGCACCCGGAAGACCACTGGAAGCCAATGCAGCTCACGCAGGAAAGGTGTCACGTGGGAGCGCCATGTCACCCCCATAAGTACCCACGCAGCCACATTCTGCACCAGTTGGAGCCTCCGAGTGCTCCTCAAGGGGAGCCCCATGTAGAGAGCATTGCAGTAGTCCAGGCGGGAAGTAACGAGGGCATGAGTGACTGTGCATAAGGAGTCCCGATCCAAAAAGGGGCGCAACTGGCGTATCAGACGAACCTGATAGAAAGCCCCCCAGGCCACGGCTGTCATATGCTCTTCTAAAGACAGCCGTGTGTCCAGGAGGACACCCAAGTTACGCGCCCTCTCCGTGGGGGCCGATGTCTCGCCCTCAATAGTCAGCGATGGCACCAGCTGACTATATCGGGATGCCGGCAGCCACAGCCACTCAGTCTTGGAGGGGTTGAGTTGGAGCCTGTTTCTCCCCATCCAGACCCACATGGCCTCCAGGCACCAGGACATCACTTCAAGGGCATCGTTGGGGTGGTCTGGGGTGGAGATGTACAGCTGGGTGTCATCAGTGTACAGATGGCACTGCACCCCAAAACCACGGATGATCTCACCCAGCGGCTTCACATAAATGTTGAACAGGAGAGGCAAGAGGACCGACCCTTGTGGCACCCCACAAACCAGGTGCCTTGAGGTCGATCTCTGCCCTCCAGCCAACACGGACTGCGACCGGTCAGAGAGATAGGAGGAGAACCACTGTAAGACAGTGCCTCCCACTCCCAATCCCTCCAACCGGCACAGCATGATACCATGGTCGATGGTATCAAAAGCCGCTGAGAGGTCTAATATGACCAGAACAGAGGAGTAACCTCTGTCCCGAGCCCTCCAGAGATCATCTACCAATGTGACCAATGCCGTTTCCATGCTGTACACGGGCCTGAAGCCGGACTGGAATGGATCTAGATAGACGGTTTCATCCAGGTACTGTGGGAGCTGTTGCACAACCACACTCTCAACAACCTTCGCCAAAAAGCGAAGGTTGGAAATTGGATGATAGTTTGCCAAAACAGCCAGGTCCAGAGAGGGCTTCTTGAGGAGGGGCCTCACCACTGCCTCTTTCAAGGTGGGAGGCAAGAAACCCTCACTCAAGGAAGCGTTTATAATCCTCTGGAGCCAGCCTCATGTAACCTCCCGGGTAGCCAGCACCAACCAGGAGGGACATGGGTCCAATAAACATGTGGTTGCGTTCAACCTCCCCAGCATCCTGTCCATGTCCTCAGGGGTCACAGGGTCAAACTCATCCCAGGTAACAGTCTCAAGACACACCTCAGACAACCCGCCTGTACCCACCCGGTCAGAGTCCAAGCCTTCCCAAATTTGAGTGACTTTATCGTGCAGATAATGTGCAAAATCCTCAGCACAACCTTGCAAGGGGTCTTCCCACACTCCCAGATGGAGAAGGGAGTGGGTCACCCTAAACAAGGCAGCTGGGCGATTATCTGCCGACGCGATAAGAGTGGAAAAGTAATTACACTTTGCCGCCTTTATCGCCACTAAGTAGGTCTTGATGTAAGACCTCACTTGTGTATGGTCAGATTCGGAGTGACTGGCCCTCCAACTACTCTCTAGGCATTTTTTCTGGCGCTTCATCCCCCTTAGCTCCTCAGAGAACCAAGGAGCTGGGTAGATTCGGCGCTGGGTCAGAGGCCGCAAAGGCACGACCCGATCTAAAGCACCAGTGGCCGCCCTATCCCAGGCGGCCACCAGGTCTTCCGTCGAGTCACGAGCCAGAGTCTCAGGAAATGGCCCAAGCTCCATTCGGAACCTATCAGGATCCATCAGGCGCCTGGGGCGGAACCACCTGGTCGGTTCTGCCTCTCTGCAGTGGGGTGTAGCAGTCAGAAAGTCAAGTCTAGGGAGGGAATGGTCTGACCATGACAAGGGTTCAATAACTATATCCCCTGTATCTAGGCCATTCAACCACTGACCAGAGACAAAAACCAAGTCCAGCATGTTTCCCCCTATGTGAGTGGGGCCCTGAATTAACTGGGTCAGGTCCATGGCTGTCATGGAAGCCATGAACTCCTGAGCCACCTCAGACGCTTCACCGATGGACGGCAGGTTGAAATCCCCCATGACTAAAAGCCTGGGGGTCTCAACCGCCACCCCGGCTATAACGTTGAGGAGCTCAGGCAGGGCCGCTGCCCGCAGCAAGGAGCCAGGTACGCAACCAGCAGGTCCATCTGCCTCTCATGGCCCCACTTCACAAGAAGAGAGTCACAGCTGGCTATCTGAGGTACAGTGGCCTCCCTAGGATCAAGACCTTCTTTTACAAGATTGTCAGTTAAATCTTTTCTTTTAGATATACTAAGGGCATACATATGCATTTCTTTTGTTTTTGTATACTGAAATTCTGATCTATCCTGTCAATGTAATAGCAAACATGGTTGGTTTATTTACAATAGTCTATTCAGCTGTATTTAGAAAAATGACCTTTACTGCAAAATTGATTTGCAGAAAAATATAAATAGAATATACCTGGCAGATATTAACAATTGTTTCATCACATTGTTGACATTGCTAGAATACTATATATATTTCATACTCTATACTGATAACACATTGTAAAAATATCACTTCTCAGAGGAATTAAGAATACATTACCAAAAGACAGGTCAGAATTCAATCAACAAGTTTTGATGTTTGCACATTTCAGACTGATGTTAAAAACCACATTTTCTAAAATTACTTTGGTAATCTGATTTTATTTCAGCTAGAGTTCTACTGAAATGATCAAGGAATAATGTCTTGAAATTTGCTAGCAATTTTTATAGAAAGAGCCAGTTTGCTGTGGTAGCAATGACATTAGACTAGGAGACTGTGAGTTCTATTTCTCCCTTAGGCCTTCTGGTGATTTTGGACCAGTCATTCTCTCTCAGCTCAATCCACACATAGGGTTATTGTGGAGAAAATAAGAGGTCGGGCTATTATATATACATGGAACCTTGGGATTGACTTTGAGATAAACTCCCTTTTTACAACTCTGCAATCCCTTAATTCAGGGTAGAGTTGGGGAGACTGGATGGAGCTGGGCATTTACTGGCCTGATGCTCTTCCTGACACCATGCAGAGATTGCAGCAGATTTTTTTTTTTTTTTGCACCCTAGGAGAGAAACATCCACCGCTACCAAAGATACAACATGGGCAAGGTATCATGACCTGTACAATTCATGAATAGAGAATGTAGAAGTCAATTTAATCTTTGCTCAAACTTGAAAAGCTCAGCTCTTGAATATTCACGATGACAAATACCTTGGCGGTGAAACATTCCTGCTCAAGAAAATATTAATTGAATCCTTTTCCTCTCTCTGTCTCTCTCTCACTCTGCCTCCTTTCTCTGTAATCAACATAGTAGAAGTAACATTGGTATTTATAGACAATGGAAAAAGTCTATAGTCTCTAGAACAAGGAATATCTCAAGCTTCCGTGAACGACTCTTTGTTTATAGTGCTGATAATTACTACATTATTTAGTCAAAAGTCATTCTTAGCATTTTTCATATTCACTGGTGATAAAAAAGCAGAACTTCCTTTTTTTCTATATTATTTTATCTGTCCCTCTCTTTGTTGTTGCCACTTGGCTCCCAACATCAAGGCTAGTTTTATTCTGGAATGCAAATTTCATGTTATGATAAGCAACAGTTTCTCTTGACTTATCAGTGCTTGGGAATAGCATAGTTGTGTAGCCATGATGTAGTTGGTTATTTCCACTCTTGACAAATTATCATGAAAGAAGGAAAAATATCAAAATATTGGCTAAATCCCATATTCATTTTACTTATGCTTATGACAATTTTCATTTGAAGCAATTAGACTAATCAGTAAATTTAATGGCAACAACAGCATACATAACAAGAAAAAGAACAATTGAATCTTGGACTCATATTTCAATCTTTAACCTCATGTGCTGGTTAAATCAAAAACAAAATTTGAATAAGGCTAGCTTGGTCTTCAGATATGTACTACAAATAACATGTTCTTGGTACCTAGTAGTAACCAGATTAAAACAATTTGTCTAGTTAAAACCAGCAATGAAATCTCAAAGTAATTTTGTGCATGAAATGACCCCTAAATTATTCTCAACAAATTTACAAGCCAACATATCATATACTTTAGGACATCCATTCACTTTAAAGAGATTGCACCATAATAGTTTTCAAATTATTTTATTCTATTAATACCACAGAAGCAAACTGACTCCACAAACAATACATGCAAAGTATGAATATAATTTATCAGAACATCTAGTGCTTATTAGTATACAATAGACTTAGAGTCTATTTCCAATATAATTTCAGGAAATTAAAGGAAAAAAATGTAGAGTTCATCTATTCATTTATTTGGGGTCAGATTTCATTACTGAAATATTAATCTACTTTTTATACTAAATAGTTTGAAGCCTTGTGAATTTTGTAAGGCTGCCTTTTGACTATTTGTTATGTTTAATGAAGAAATAACATACCTTAAATGCATTTTAATGTTCCTTCTAGGATCGGGGCCTTGATGAGGGAAAGGGGCTTGTGTGGGTAAATGAAATCATGGGCTAAGTCATTGGACATCATGAAAAACAAAAATAAAGAGTGATAAACTGTTAGAGGAGAACAGTGATTTTGAGATTAATCTGTCAAATTGCTTTGCTCTATTGCAAGTTTTGGAAGAGATGAACATTATGGACCAAAATGAATAAATAGTCAAAAATGTCATTGAATCTGCTACATCTATATCAGTGGCACCCAACCTATGGGTCACCAGGGACCATTCCGTGGAGAGGGTTTTTCTGTGTACTAGAGAAGGTGTGATTTTGTATTCTGCCTGCATCCTGTAGATTGGGATTCACTAGTTTGTAAGGCCTGGTTTCTGGCATGCCACAGACCGGTGCCATTCCACAAACCAGGGTTGAGGACCCTTGATCTATAGCATCACTGGAAAAACACTTGGTACAGTCAAAAATCCCTGCTGAAATAATTGATTTAATAAAAAAACGATGGACAATGAAGAGTATTTGAAATTTCACTAGTAAACTAGAGTACCATAAGAAAATGTATCCAAGAAAAAATGTGTCAGTTTAACATGAAGTTTGTGAAAAAGTCAATTGAAGAAAACAAAGGGATTAAATAGAGCAAAAGAAAGATAGAAAGGATTAGAGAACAAACAAAAGTATACAATATCATCAAGAGAGTAAAAGATTTGAAATGCAAATGGGCTGGTCACATAGCAAGAAGAATTGATGGCAGGTGGACCAAGGCAGTCATAGAAAAAAGCATCCACGAAAGAGACCTAAAACAAAATGGCTTGATGACATTAGCAAGTATTGCAGGCCCAATTGGTAAAAGAAAGCTCAGGACCATATTGGAAACATGAAGAAGAGGTGGATAGACAATGGCTAAAAATGGTAGTGGTGGTGATGATGATGAAATGGATTAACTCAACACCTATTACAGCTGCCATTGAAAATAAAGTGAAAACTACATTTTGGAGATTTTTCCTCAGGTGAAACATCTGAGGAATATATAATGAATATATACGTTTTATAAGATTAGGAAACATATTATGAAAAAGTAGTTTTTAAAAAAGAGATTTTGAGACTGTTCTTTTTTCTAATATCTTAATGTTAATTAAGACTCTTGGTGTTGATATGCATTATATAACCTATTTTATATTTCAGTGTAATAAAAGTTGGTGTGTGTATACAGACACATGTATGTATTATAATCTTAGGGAAGGACATTTATCTGACCATTTGACTAAAATATTACAATGAAATGTAATGAAGGGGATTCTTGTTTCATTTCTCATGAAATTGCCTATTATTGTTTCTTTGTATCACATCATTAGTAGATGAAGTAACAAACACTGGATAGGAGAATTCTGTCTTCTGTCAAAGCACTTAGTTTTTGTCTCTTTAAATTGATCCAGTTTTAGGATATGGTTCATTGAGTTATGCTAGAAACTGACTGGCATTAGTTATTCTCAATAGATACTTTGACCTGGACAGAAAAGGTTTTAATATCATACAGTCTTATTTTCTGAATGTTAGAACTGCTTGTTTACTATAACCAAAAAATGTTATGCAAGCATAATTAATAAGTGCTGCACTAATTATTGATCAACCATATGATATGTTAGGGTGGCTGTATCGTAAATACTTGGCTAAATGATTAATAGTTTTCAAAGGTTCATAAATTTCTTGATTATGTTGTTCCCTGTTGTGTACCGACATTGACTTAATCACATTGATTTTGTTTCAGCCATAGGCTACTCTTTGGGGATTGGAATTAATAGCCTTTTAAGTGTACATGCTAGCATATATTGAATTAGTTAAACTAACATATTTCTTCAACTGCTAGTCAGGGGTATAAAATATTCAGTTGGAATAAATACAGATGTGATAGTGAAATTCCAGCTTCGAGAAATCAGCACGTAGGAAACCCATATGGTTGAGTTCCCTCAGGTGTTGTCCTTTTCAATTACCTTTGGAGGTGATGGTCACTTGTTTCAACAGTGATATGAATCTCTCTCAGCCAGCAAGCATGGAATATGCCAGCAAAAGAAAAGGCTATTAATTGGTATTCTCCCATTGTAGGTTCTTGCTTTGCAAATTATTACTACAGCTTTTAAGACATTATCAGCCCTTCAAGACAGCCCAGGTCAGAAATCAGACAATGTAAGAACTATAGAAATGCTACTTGATTTGCTGTAGGATATGATATTGAAATCTTGCCAGAGTCAAGGTAAGATCATGTTTGAGTTTCTCTATTATGCTTCTCATTTTCTAAGACTGAACTGTCTTTTGCCTTGCTTTGACTATATTGCATTGACTATATACCATGTACAATGTGATCTGCATACTCCTTTACAGAAGTACCACTCTAATTATACAGGCAATATATCTATAAGATGTTTGAGGTTGGGTGGTTTCTAGCACTATAGTTAAATTTTGATGAAAATTTTTACTAGATAGATAATCTGGATTATAGTCACTGATCAGAAAATTAAGCAATCATCTTTATAAAAAGAATAAAAGAACAAAGTGCAGTAAGCCATGACATAGGAAAGAAAGTATAAACCTTAATCCAGAAAAGATAAGAAAAATGCCTAAAGCCTTAAAACATTTCTAAGATAATAGCAGGAATGCATGCAGCACTATTCACATATAGCAGGATATGAGATTCATAAAATTCTACCCATTGAACCATAAGCCATTCAGTGAACACATAGAAATACGACTATATGTGTGTGTAAATTGATAGAACTAAAATTGTATATTGGTTAGTTACAAAGTATAATAGGAAATAAAACATAGATGTAACGTAAGAAGCTTAAGAAAACAAATAAAAATATAACCAGGACATTAAAGAAGTGCATCAGGAAAATGCACTTCTCTGTAAAACATCACTCCCTTGGAGATAGGATTGGGCCCCACTTTACTTTTCCAAAATGCCCTAAATATGTGGTTCTCTAGGCAGGTTTGGGATTGATGTTGCTGCTGTGGAGGGAGGGGTTAAATAATTGATTTTTATTCTTGTACATCAGCTGCAGTCACCACGTGTAAATTAGGTGGCTTTATAAATTTGTTTAACAAATAAATAATAATAAATTAAGAAAGTACTTTTGTATATATGACAATGAGATATATGAATTTTTTTTCTGCCAGTGAGTGATCAACTGATTTTTTAAAAACTATCCCAGATATGGTAACCTGTTTGTGCTTATTTATATGCAAAATAATAGTATATAAATAACTGCATGATAAAAGCAAAAGTGATCAAACATTGGACAGAAATCAAGCAATACCACTAAGATCTGTCAGAAGATGAACAGTTTGATCAAAAAGTAGGAAAGGCTAAAGGACTAACTAATAATAATAATAACACCAGACGGCTGAAGAATTAAAAAAGGCATTGGAAGAAATTTCAGTAAAGCTAGTATACCATGAAAGCTTACTGAATACCATAGAGACTATACTGGCCTACACAAAAGATCAAATGAAGAACAGTAAAGATACATGATGAGGAAAAGTATTATATGTCCAACACACACACACACACACACACACACACACACACACACACACACACAGAGAGAGAGAGAGAGAGAGAGAGAGAGAGAGAGAGAGAGAGAGAGAGAGAGAGAGAGACTAGTAGAGAAAATAGAAAATAATAAGGCATGGCAATGGCTAAGAACAGGGAAGTTGAAGAAAGAAACAGAGAGTCTAATCTGGCTGCATAAAAGCAAGCCTTAAGAACAGAGGTGTCAAACTGGCAGCCTGCAGGTCAGATACATTATGTTCAGGCCACGCCTACCCCAGCTCTGCGAAGAAAAAAAATGTTGTGAAAAGTCACATGACAGCAATGTGGTGCCACGAGTTTGACACCCGTGATTAAGAACAAAGCCATATAAAGAATTAAGACAGCAACAAACTGCAAATGCCACTTAAGGAAAGAAACTGAATAACAATGGACTACCTAGTTAGCTGTTGCAAGAAAATAGCATAGACTGTCTACAAATAATGGCAGGACAAAGTACCAACAATGATACATTGGAATATCTACAAGAAACACAGATTGCCTGGAAGTAAGAAGTGGTGGGATCACAAAATAGACAAGTAATAGAAAATGAAGACAATAAAGTTTTCTGGAACTTTAGAATTCAAACAGACAAGCACCTGTCACATGCATAGTCGATGTGGCAGTGCCTGGAGACAGCAGAATAGAAGAGACAGAACTGGTG